ACCATCATTCCAGGCAATTGGGCGGGGAACACATTTGTCTAAGTGACAGCTTGGTATTGTCCAGAGTGCCCCCCCCCAAAAAAAACCTTGACTAACTCTTCTATTAACTGCTGTATTTGGCAAAATAGAGAGAGCGTTTTTTTCCCCTGCAGCCCATTTATTTATTAAGTCATCTACTTAGTAAATATTTATTCACTATGTGTCCGTTAAATGCCAGGTGTAATCTTAGGCCCAGGCATAGAGCTGTGACTATATGAGATTACAGCCTGCATGGTGCTGCTTCTTCAGTGTGCTTACATAGTTCTTAGAACTTTTGATGAATATACATGATTATTCTCTTAAAGAAATATTGTTGTGTTATCTAAGCATATTAAATTCTTATATAGTCAGAAAGAACACCTGTTAGTCGACTAGCTGTTTCTGAGACAAGTATTTGTGCCTTAGAGACCTGAGTTTGCTGCTGTTCTATTATTATTAGCCATTAAACATGTGAAGAAAAGACTGGGGTGATGTAGGTAAAAATGAAAACAAAAATCAGAATCTCCTTGTCTATAAGTGATATAATTTTCTTTTTGTTAAAGTAGATTTAACATGAGTTGTGACTGCTATTTTCTTTCAAACATTGTCAATAGGTTCTTCACAGCAGGCATTGTAAAAAGGCAAAAGCAAAAACAAATTCTAATAAAAACAAACCCTTCAATATTTTTAAAAAGTGAATAGAGGGGCCCGGAGAGATAATACAGGGGTTAAGGCATTGCCTTTCACCCTAGTCTAATCTTCGGTGCTACATATGCTCCTCTGAGTACCACCAGGAGTGATCCCCAAGCACAGAGCCAGGAGTAAGCCCTGAGCACCACTGGGTGTGGCCAGATGTTTACACACACGCACACACACACACACACACACCCCACATACACAATAAGGTTAACAGAAAAAAATGTAGTATCTGTGTTTTTCTTGATAAAAAATAAATTATAATCTACAATATGATACAAATCAGATAAAAATACTAAACCTAAAAGTGATATTCAGACAGAGGTTATGGATCTAAATAATTGACCTTTTAATGATTTATATGTTTTTATAGAATAGTGATCAGTTTTATCAAATGATTTAACGGGCTAGCATATTCCTTACCAATAGTAATAATTTCCAGACTAACAAGTGATACATTCAGTGCTGAATAGAAATTCCTATTTAAAAGCAGTGTTCTTGGAAAGTGGAATCCTACCTCTGTTTTTTTTTTGTTTTTGTTTTTTTTTTTAATCAAACCCGGGTCGGCTGCATGCAAGGCAAACGCCTTACCCGCTGTGCTATCGCTCCAGCTCCTCCCTCTGTTTTGGAGAATCAGAATCTTTGAATCATTTCAGGAAGGAGTGGAGTGTATAGTGATTTTTCCACACCCCCGCACACAGACCACCTTGACAATCATTGGTTTGGTGCAACCCCATCATTTTACAGATAAGAAAACTGAACTGCAAGCATGAAAAGAAACCTGTTGAGTTACAGATACAGAGAATGACAGAGAGGTTGGATTAGAACAGAATCCAGCCTCTGACTCCCAGTCTGCTCTTCTGCTGATCTTTATATCAAATTACGACAGACACCTCGAGCACCTTCATGAAGAACAAGTTCGCTTTAACCTGCTCTCCCAAGCTTAAGTTACCCAAACAACATTCTACTGGATCCAACCTCCTATTCTAAGAAAAGCACTTCACAGGTTTGGGTTATTGTTGGTAGATGTTTAGTTATGATTTGCTGTTGTCTGTTTTGCTTTTGGGAAGAGGAGAAGGAAGTTGAATATCCAACTTAAAAGATCATTATTACTTGGCAAGCAAGTCAACATAAGTTTTAAAGCTGATAAGAAAGCAGCTGAAATTGCCACACACAACTTCATACAATGCTGCGATGGTCATGTTCTATATATTCGTGTGAAGGTATGTCACTCACTTCTGAAACAATTGAGAGAGCTTGCCTAGCTCACTTAGACCTCTGGGGGAGGAAAGCATGGCATTCCCAATTGCCATAATGGTTACCTAAGAGAGATGCCAGTCCTTTACGGCAACGGAAAAGGTCACCAATAAAACAGAGCTCGAGTTAGGGGAAGTGGGTGAAAGGGAGAACGGAACATCTACATTCTAAATTCGGTCCTTTCAAATGTTCATCTACTATACAACCACAGCCCTTCAAATGTTCAACGAAGTTGAAAACTTGATCCCAAGACGACCTTTCCCCTGCACTGATCTCTATTGAATGCGGCTGACATTTTAATGAGGCTTCATCTGGCATTCAGCTGTTAGCAGAGAAGAACATCAAAAAGCGCTGCCTTTCTTTTACATGAATATGGGGTTCGTGATATTTTCACTCAACGTGTACCCAAGTGGAAAGCTCTGAGAAACTTTTTGTTTTGATAAACACTTCCTAGAGTATTGATGAAAAATAATGTCACTAATTGTACTAGATGTAGTCACTACATTCAAAAAGTATTCCCAAGTATTAATATAGAACTCTTTAAAAATTAAAACTGACATTGATTGACTCCTACTACCTGCCAAACATTGTACTAATTGCTTTACAGAAATAGTGTTATCTAGTTCTCACAACTCTCTTATGTGGATGCATTTTTACATTTGGAGAAAATGAGGCTTAGAAAGGTTAAGTGCCTAATCCATAACCACAGTGAGTGACAGTCAAATGCAAATTTGTCTAACAAAGCCTGTGCTCGTGATACTCAGCCTGTCTTAATTTGATCCCTATCCAAGCACCTAGGCCTAGAGGACCCATCCTAAACTAACATGAAGACAACAAACTTTTCATTGAGTCCTATGGAAAGTTTAGAAAGAATGCAACGAGCACAACCTTGCTCCAAGTTCAGTGTCTCTCCTGGAGTTGCCCAGCGCTCTCCCAAATGAACCTCTGATGATCCCAGAGAAGTATCCCACACTGTGAGCTTGCACGAATGCCCACTCGTGCCTTGAAATGGAATCAAGACCAATTGAGTCGTAGCAACTAGACTCAGCAATAGATCTTTCTTCTTCGGGCAGCTGAAAAATCCTCCCTCCCACCCTGCCTGCAGTATCCAACAGATAACGTATCAGCAGTATCTTAATATTCCACACACTGAAAGGTATATATTCAGTATATGAAGATACAAAACATGTTCATTTTTGTTTAAGAAAATAACATATCCCAAGTGCCTTTTTCTCAGGCCATGGAGGAGCCCAGGCCGGAGGGGTGGCCGCTGCTAGCTGCTGTGCCAAATGCATATCCACCTTTGCAGTCCTTGTGTTTAGGCGGTGTGGTCCAGGTTGTCCTTTTTTTTTTTAAATATTGCCCTGCATCTGATGTTGTTATTCCACAATCAGAAGGTGAGAGTATTCTACAATGTTATTTTAATTGGTCACAAAATTAAATAACATTATCAAGGAGAAATGAAACTGAAAGGAGGTAGTAAAGCTCGCAGCCCCAAGTCTTTTACCAGGACTACAATTGCTAATGAAAGACGCAAAGTCCTGAAGTTGATTGCTCCGGTTAGTTACCTTTGCACCTGAAGGTCTACGAAGTGGGGTGGTTAGGGTAAGTGGAAGGGGAGCGGGATACCACTTTCAATGGTTAGCATGATTTTGCATCCAGCAGCAAGCAAATGCTCATCTTTTCCTTTACTCGCTTTAGGGTGCTCCCTGGGAAAATGTTTTGAAAAACAGAAGTCTGACTAATAAAATTAGTCCCACATAGCAGTCTAATTCAGTCATATTTTCTTGAACTTTACTAAGCAAAGTCTCCTCCATGTCAAATAGGTTAATTACTTGATCGTGGTTAATGCATAGCCTGGCCAATTAATTTATAAATGGGAGACCAGCTATTTTTATCACATTACTTACTTCCCAAGTGACTTGCATCAATAAATTTCATAGAAATAAATAAAAGTATATAGTTGTGGTCTTTGCCTTCCATCCATTCAGTATCTCTCTGAAACAAATGAGTAGTATAAGCAAATTAAGACTGTCTTTCTGAGCAGTCTCACTGGCCTGTTTTTGACAATGTGATCTTGACTTTGGGCTTGACAATAAGTCCTTGATAATATTATCCTTTCTGAAATATTTCACTGAAGCAAGTTACACTTTTAATAAGTTTCTATAATCTTGACTAGCCGATTGTATTCCGTTTGTGCTCGGGAAACTAGGCACTGGATGGATACTTTTCAATCGTGTCTGTAACTCCATTTGTCACTCTAGCTGACACGAGTGATCAATCTCAACCATCCTATTCTAGATGTTCTCCAAATCTAAAGTTCTAAGTCCCAAATATTCACCTACATGTCTGTGCATGGCAAATCACATCTTGGAACAACAGTCGATAGATAATACATTCATACTCATGCTCCATTTGGAACCTCAGCACAGCCAGCAAACCCCATACACAGTCCAAGTCAAAGCAACATTGCCGTCTTTTCCCCTCCTGCCTCCTACCTGATGCAGGGAAACAGAAATTCCCAATCCCCTCTCTTGAGGGTAGAGGTGCCAAATGGAAAGAAAAGAACGAAAAAAGAGCACCTCAATCTAGACAACGTGTAACAAAAGCCCCAGAGCAAACCACAGTTCTCAGCACTCTCTGATAAGGTTTCAGGACACAGAGCTGAGGAAGAGTGAATTCTGCAGTGATCCATCCCACACTCCGTGGCTCCAAATTAACCCTGCCACGTTACCGCTGCCAACCTTCAGATTAAATGCTATGTCCTCCTTCACCCTTATGCAATTCTTTTTCTGTTCTGTCAGCCTGGGATCTGCAAAGATCAGTATTCTATTTAAGAAAGAAAGAGAGAGAGAGAGAGAGAGAGAGAGAGAGAGAGAAGGTAGAAGCTTACATTCTGGGCCATCCATCAGGCCTATAGCCCTGGATTAAGGATGACACCCAGTCAACAATGCTGTTGAAGATGCCCCGGCAGTACCCATCGCAGGGATGTGCAAATGGAAGGAGAAACAATTGCATGGCAAACTTACCAGCTTTTGAGGCTGAGTGGCTGCAGCGACCCCCGTGCCTTACCTGATCCTCTGCTGTCTGCCTCTTTCCCTCTCTCTCCCTCCTTCTCTTGTGTACAGATTGCAGGGGACTTAAAGAACTCGCAGGGACAGTGTTTCAAATGACTTAAGAAAGAGAACAGGAACAATACTTCGTTCTCTTTTTCTCAGATGAGTACCTTCGGGAAGAAGGAAGGAAGGGAGGGGAGAGGGAGGAAGTCAACAACCCTTTGCTTTCCTGAAAAAAAATAAGGAAACAGAAGATAGACATCTCATTTTCTCTTAAACAAAATGTTGGAAGGGGCAAAAAAAAATCTTTGAAAAAAGGAATTCCTCAAATATGTTCTCTGCCCTGGGAGCTTGAAAGAGATGAAAAGGTTTACTGGCCTGGCCTGTCCAAACAAATGGTATTCCAGAAAGGCAGGCTCTCCTGAGCTTGCAGCCTCAGGGACTGGTGTGCAGAGCCGATCGGGAACAGATCATGGCTTACTGAGCAGGAGCACAGGAGGTTTGGTGTGCTGTGCTAACCAAGGTCGACCAGCAGCCTGTGAGGCCGAGTGGGACATTTATTTAGCCCTTTCTAGGCTGGAGAAAATACCCGTGCGGCTGCAATTCCGCAACCTGACTCTAGATCCCAAGAGTTCCTCCTGTGTGGAATAGCAGATTTATGCTCTGACCAGACTTTGCTTGGTGCCATGAAGAAAATCAAGTTTGCATCTTTGCTGATGGTTTTTTTTAAGCATGCAACTTACTGCACAGTTGTTCGTACAGTTGTTAGAGAATTTTTTATATTTTCTATTCTCTACTTTCCGAATGCTGCTTGGATTTAGTCACCTCTGGGCAGACTAGTCAATGAGGGTCTAATCTGTTCTCAAAATTCTGAGAATGAGCAGAGTAGAGTCTTAGATGAGCTGGAAAGGGTTCTGCAAAAGGGAAGGAGAGTTTGAAGAGAAGAGTGAGAAAGCGGCAAGCGTGTCCTTCGCCAGGTCAGGGGACCCGGGGAATACAGTGGGCAGGCAGGAGCACTGGGTAGGGTTCGTGGCATTTAGAATAAGCCAGTCTGAAATTCTCTGTTTGCACTGTGTGCCTGTATTCTCCATTCAACTGGGTAAGAACATTTTCACTACCAACAGGAACTAGCAGTTTTGTGGGTCTCTGTGGTGGCAAAAAAGTAAAACCACCTCTAAGGTACTTCCTTGTTTCATCAACTGTGACAAAAAGGGGTGGAGTATTGTACCTGCTTAAGAAGTTTTGAGAGCAAATTCATAAGACTCTTTTTTTTTTTGGTGGGTGGAGCAGCGAGGAAAGGGTAATCCAATTTTCTCCAAGATCATTCTTTTATCCCCTCTTTGCTTCCCCCCATCAATTATCAACGGTCAGTCTATCTCTCTGTCATCTGCCTGTGTATAATAACAAAGAGCACCTAAAGATACTATACAGTAGTTGGCTGCAAGATCCAGAATGGAGTTTTTTCTTGCACTTGGTACTGCACTGAGGCCAACACAGCACAGAGCACTGGATTACTGTCATAGGTGCCCAACTCAGTCCACTAATGGTCACTCCCTTCAGGGGCTAATCCCAGAACCCTCCTCCACTTCTTCTGCAGCAACTCAGCCTGTGCTCTTTGCCCTCTGCTGGCCTTCCTCTGCATCCTGCCTTTGTAGAAATGGGAAGGAACACGCAACCCTAAGAGCCAGAGAAGAGCCTGAGAGACTGGACAGGGGAAGGATGGGCATGGGGAACACATTCTCTTAAAGGAGCAGCAATCTTGAGCTCCTTTACCTTTGGAATAATTGGGAGGGTTAAAAAAATCACTCTTCTGGAATGAAAATGGAAAGTGAGAGTGGGGTTTGGTGCATGGAAAGGCTGAGTGAGGGTTGCTGTGGCCTCAGTCCTGGAGGAAGCCGGGGAGGTGAAGGCATAAGAATCCCAGAGTGCAGATTCCTCCAGGAGGAAACGTCTGAGTCTCTGAAGCCTCAGGCAGGCCTGGGGCCGCCTCTTCCTGATTGGTTCCTCCTGCAGACCCAGGGCCAGGCCAGGACTGAGCCCAAGGAGCACCCGAGTATCCAGAGGATTCCCTTGCAAGTCTGCCGAAGGTGGGGACTTTCAGGGGAAGACCTGTGATTGCCTCCCAGCAGACCAGGGGTCCCCCCCCGGGGCAGCTTGCAAGGAGCCCAGCACCCCCAGCTTCTCACCTGAAGTGAACATAGCAGCTCCAGTCAGAACCCCTGTATCTGCCCCCACCCTCTGAAACCCAGAAAGACCATGTGTGATGTAGAACTTTTCCCAGGGTCCCAACAAAGATGCTTAACCCCCCACATGCCAGGCCAGTACTCCTCGCAGACCTCACAGTGGTCCCACTCAAAGTCACAGGCCAGGCTGTGCCCCTCCCTGCACTGCCAGCAGCTGCCAAGTCTCCCCAAGAAATCACCCCTGAGTATCTGCTAGCTCAAAGGCTTCTAGCCTTCCTTGAAACTTAGGAGAGACTGAGTCCTAACCCTACTCATCCTGCTGGGAAAGTGGAGTCTGCAGCTCTGCCCCGGTTCCTCTGGATCAGGAGTGAAGCAAAGAGAGACAGTTTTGAGGTGCAGAAGGCTGAGACAAGGCAGGTGTGGAAATAGAATAAGGCCAGGCAGCTTAGACCTCAAGCCAGCTGCTCTTTATGCCAGCTATTACAGAAATCATTTGAGTTAGAAGGAGAGAGATGGAAATAAAAACCTGGGATTTGACTGAGGGATAAGGAGTAGAACTGGGATAGGAAACTCAGTCAAGAACCCCAAGACTCAGAGGGACCCAGCAGTGTGGAGTAATGGTGTGTGTATTAGAGGATGGCCGTTTTTGAAGCATCCTACCTCTGGGTTTCCAGTGGTGCCCGCTCTCAGCCCTCAAGGGCCAGCTGTCCACCTCACAGCTAACTTTGACCCCTTATCATGCAGTGGAGGGAAGGTTGAAATAGAATTTATGCTCAGAATAGTGTCCATGGAGTCAAAGTGTCCAGGTCACCTTTTCAACATGAACATGTAGTAGCAACCAGATCTGGAACCATGAGGCGTGAGGTCCCACTGCCTGTAGCTTTCCGGGGTTGCCACAGCTCTGACTTCTCACACAGATCATGTGTACTTATTTCCTGGGCCCAAAATCACATAAGAGAAGACTGCACTCTGTTGTGGGTATTCCTGCACCACTGTGTATGCGTGAAATCCCCTCTACTATGACTCCAGAACCCCTCCAGAGCTATGGCTCCTATGCTCTCATTGATTTACCTTTGGTATTTCATTGCCATAGATTCCATTTCTGGTTAGTTAGTTTGTTTTTTGTTGTTGTTGTTGTTTTTGCTTTCTTCTGTTCTAAGGCCACACTTAGCAGTACTCAAGGCTTAATTCTGTCTCTGTCCTCAGAGATCTTTCCTGGCAGGGCTCGGGAGTACAGTTAGGTGCTGGGGATCAAACCCCGATCAGCTGCATGCAAAACAAGAACCCTACCCACTGCACCATTACTCCAACCCAGTATCATTTCTAGCTGAGGCTCTGACAATTGGACTAGCAGGAATTATCTTGGTACTCTAGGACTCAACTCTCTCCAGGAAGATGGTCCACCCTATTCACAAACTTCTTGTTTGATTGCTTTTTTGTTCTTCCCTTTCCTTTACTGTTGCAATGACCAGGGGCTGTGCATTTAGATATGGTGCTCACACATTCAACGATGCTGTTTGCTGGGACTTGAACAATCTCACTGTGCTGCTTATTACACAGCTGGTTGTAGTGCTCACCAGGGGTCGCTGTGGTACTCACAGGCTGTTAAGGGTAAGCGAGGGGTCCCGGACAGCAGAGCCACCAAGACACGGCAAGACACTGGCATGTGAACACACCAGCAAGGGGCTGTCAACCTCACACTTACCTGGAACATCTTGCCTTTGAGTCAAACCTCAGGACCACTGCTTAACTGTCGTTCTTTCTTTCTTTCTTTCTTTCTTTCTTTCTTTCTTTCTTTCTTTCTTTCTTTCTTTCCTTTCTTTCATTCTTTCTTCCTCTCCCTTTCTCATTCACTCTTTTCCTTCCTTCCTTCCTTCCTTCCTTCCTTCCTTCCTTCCTTCCTTCCTTCCTTCCTTCTAGCCCTCTTTCTCTCCCTCCTTTCCTTCTTTCCTTCTTTTTTGTTTCTTCCTTTCTTTCTCTCCCTTTTCACTTTTTCTTTCTTTCTCTTTCTTTGTCCTTTCTTTCCTTCTTTCTTTTCTTCCTTCTTTATTTCTTCTCCCTTTCTTTCTCCCTTTTTGTTTTCTTTGCCCTTCCTTCTTTCCTTCTTTCTCTCTTTCTTTCTCAATTAACTGTGGTCAGGGCTCACTCCTGGCAGTGTTTGAGGAACTTTAAGTGGCTAGAGATCAGGTCTGGGCCAAGGCCTGGAATGCACTAAGCTCCTTGAACTCATCCCACCCTATTTTATTTGTTTTGGTGTCTTCTTCTCACATGGGATGCATGGCACAGATTTTTGTAGTATTTAAAGAAAGAAAAGAAGAACATTAAGGCATAAGAAGTGGATGAGGGCGGGGGGCAGAGACAATGGTGGAGGGAAGCAACACTTCTTCCCTCTGGAGTGCCAGGGGAAAGATGAGGGAGAGGGTGTACCATGAACAGTGTAAATCATGGCACTTCAAATAAAAATAAATTTTTTAAGTTTCTAAATTTAAAAAAAATTACTATTGATTTTCAGGAGTTGGTGAAGTCCTTAGACATATTGGCAGAATTCCTGAGTCTTTCGGACTTGGTCAGGAGCCTCTGTCTCCACTTCCTGCTACAGCCTTGAGATTCTCACTCCCACAGCTCGAAGTCACAATTCTGCTCCTCCAGCTCTGAGTCCCTTCAGATTCTATGGAAAGTGGGTGTCAACTCCCTCTGTGGGACCTTGCATGACACGCTACATTTCATTATATTAATGGGCAGAAGGGATGGCCAAGTTTCTTGGCCTCACACTCCTCAGAAACTTCCTTTGTTTCTTTTTGCCAAGCCCCAACATCCTCCCAGTCCCTTCTCAAAACATGAGGACATCATTTCTTCCTTCCCTTGGAGGCTTTTTGTAGCACAGCATGAGGAGAGGAAGG